AAAATTTATCTTATAGAACTGCAAAAATTAACTAATTAGAATAAGTTATTTTGTACTATCTAAGCAAATTTGAGTTAATCTAAAAAAACTTTATAATATATAAAAGTAAAAATTTTTTATAATTAATATATTTTAAAATTTTATAAAAAGATATATTCTATTTTAATATATATATTATAAATTTTTATTAAATTTTGAAAAATTTTTATAAGGTCTAGTGACCTAGTATAGTGATTAAATTGTCAAACTACTATACAATAGATTTAGAGTTCAAATCTTACTATTAATAAATTTAAATAATTTTCTAGACCTTGTGATATATTATGGTAAACTATTTATTTCTAGAAGCATACTCTTGTAAATTGAGTTATACTAAATTAATTTGAATTTGGAAGTATAATATAATATTATATAAATAAATCTTAATAGAATATATAAGCAGAGAACTTGTATAGTAGAAATTCTAAGTTGGTGAAGTAGTAAAGCCTTCTAATAGAACTATATCAGTTAAAGTTTAATTTAAAAAGAAAACTTAGTCTAATAAAAGTAGAAGATTTTGAAGTCTTTAGATAAAAGATAACTAGAACTAGCTGAATATTAGAAAAGAACTAGTTTAACTAACTAGTAGAGAACTATAGTAGAATCTAAGATTGTATGAATATCTACAAGAATTTAAACTAGGTGAATTTGTAAAATAAATACAAATTGCTCTAATAGGTTTGCTTTAAGATTAACTAGTTCTGTAATACTAATAATATATTAAGTATAATATATTCTGAGAAACCTAAGCTATTCTGAATAAATAGATCTATAACAAGCTAGCTAACTTAAGTAGTTAAGTGTTGTAGTAATATTAGATTAGATCTGTATAGGTTAATGAACTGAACATTTAAATAGATAACTCACAAGTAGGTTACTGATATAGTAATATAGTGTAGAACTAATCAAGTAGCTTAACACTTTGCAGTAAATTACTTAAAATAGATAATAACTAATTGTATATGTGGCTTGTTTTATACTTTTCATGTAATTACAAACAGTAGAGATTATTAATATATAATCTTATTTGCAACACTAATAAAATTTCTTCAGCAATATAAGCCACCTTTAACAACAAAAAAAGAAAAATTTTTATTATATGCATGTGTTTATTTTTTACCAAAAATAGGATTCATCATGCAGATTATAGTAAAATGATTTACATATACTCTATCCTTAAGTTTTAGCAATTAAAAAAAAAATAACAAATTAACAGAAGATAAAAAAATAAAAATAAAAAGATAAGGAATTTGATGTATTAATTTTAGTTAAACGATTAATAGATAATTTAGATTATTTTAAAACTTCAAATTTTAATTCTTATAAAATCCCAATTACATTCCATTACAAACGTATACAGTAAATGCAAATTTGCTTTATTATCTAAAACTAAGATTAATCTAAAAATTGTTTCAACATTAATATAGTAGATGGTATATTATAATGGTATTTTTTTTTATAAAATCTTCGTTTCCAATAAATATTATTCTCTACACTAGCCGTGGCTTCGTATGTGACGATTATGTGTGTGACATATAACCAGTGTTTAAAAATTGCATATAACACCACGGGGTCCCTAAAATTAAATTTTATCATTTGTTTTTATATCTGTATATTCTTAGTGTATAAGTAATAAAAAATGTTTATGTCACGTTTTACGCCTATAGTAAAGACGTGACAACACGTCTTTACAATAGGAGGTAGCTCAGTTACAGTACATAAGATTCATGTATTTTTGACTATATCCGATCTTGTATTAGATCACGTTTATAGATGTAGGCAAACGAAACAGGGAAATCTTATCTATAATATTAAAACCCCAAAAATTTTTTTTGGTATTATGATTTAGAATGATAACGTGTCAAAACTCATCTTTCCCACCATCTAACTTATTTTGACGTTCAAAATTAGACGCATAATTTGAAAAACAAATTATACATCGCACCCAGCGATATATCTTATACGTCGCCCTCACATGATTGACCAATAAATTTCAAGACCAGGTGTAACGTAGCACGATCAGGAAAATTCAAAACAAACGTTCGGTTTGTCAAAAATTACCTATAACTCAAATTGTCGCATACTAACAAAAAAATTCCTTGCAACATTTACTATAAGCCTCTCTTTATATCCATAAACTAACCCTAATCCTAACTATATAAATCTTATAAGGCATGCGCGATATATAAATTATTAAACCAAACTTGTATTTAAATAGATGTTGCATTTAAGAGTGTTGAATAATTTATTTATATATTTACACAATTGAAAAGAAACACTGCAAACACTGCAAATCAATATTTAAAATTTATTATTACGTATTATTATTATTATGTCATTTATGGCAATATCCAGTACGTCATGAACGATGTGACAAATAAGAATCCCTAGTATTATAAGAATTTCTATTCTTATCACGTCTACGCATACCACAACAAAATATATAAAATAGGCACTCTTTAATCAAATCAAACGGATTCATCGAATCAATCATTGATTTAAATATTGAAGATGTTTGCCGATTTTCCGGACGATATTGACGATATGGGAATGCTTTTACTTGAAGTAATGCTACTATGAACAATTCTATTGATACTAAGATCGCTTGGATTCCTCTTGAGATGTCGAGTGGTGTCCTGTTATTTAAGTTAAATATTAGAAAGGTTTTGTTTATTTTACTTAAATTACTTAAATTGCTTTAAATATACTAACCAATATGTTGTCGGAGTAATCTTACCAAGGAAAATAAATATACTAATCGCATGACCTTGATATGAGATCACGAAAAGCGCCTATATATAGTCCAAAAAAATATATATATTATGTAAATATAAAAGATACTGTATTTACGCTTTATTATATAACAGATAATAAATACTAAAAAAGTTTTTTTTTTTTATTACCATAAAGACACAAATACCTCTCCAGAATAACTGATTCTGTAATTTTTTGTCTGTATTTTGTCTACCTACAGAATCTATAAATTGGACATACGCCGTAACTGGTTTGGATAACATATTCTAAAATATAGTTGATAAAAAATATAATAGTTTTGATAATTAATAAATTAATTAATATCAATATGAATTAATTAATTAAAAGTTTTCACTTTCCAAACTTACCAAACTTAAGTTAGCCACTAATCCAGAAATAGTTTGAATAATCACTATATAGATTTGACCAAAATAAATAGAAAACATCTCTTCACAATATTTTCCAATAAACGCTAACGCTAATCCAATTCCAGTAGTAAAGTATAATATAAACACATATTGTAGAATTCCAAATCTTAAATTCTTTAGATATTTCGGGGTTAAATATGGACAATTTATAAATGTATATACTTTTAATGTTTCTGATTTGTGTTTCATATGTAAATTATCCGATAATTTACGTAATTCTTCTTTTCGATCGCCATCAGTTTCTCCTAATGAGTTTAGTAGGAGATTGAAGAAACTATGAGTGGCGAATGCTTGATAGGTATCTCGTATTACTATAAAGTATACAGAATATTTCAAGAAAAAGTATGAAAGCCAGGTCATAATTGTGTACATTGGCACCAAAAATATTAGACGAACTATATATCGTTGATGTTCAGGTCTCTAAAATTTAAAACTATTATTAATATTTATTATCATTAATTATACAACTAACTCATAATAAAAAAAAATTCTCTGAGAATCAATTCGATTCTGCTCATTCAGTATTGAATAGAGCAAACTCGACTTGAACAATAAAAAAAAAAAAATTACATTATAATATTTCCATTGTTGTTTCATTTGGTAAAAGGCGATCAGAGATGCTTCTATTGTAAATATTGCAGATATTACCCATCCAACAACATGAACTACAGTATTAAAAAAAAAAGTCATTTAACTTAAACATCGAAATAAATTGCTATAATATAATTTAACATCTCAAACTTACTTGATACTTTATGATTCGCATCTATAAGCACAAATGTATCCGGGTCATCACTTTTGTTTGTAATTTGGCAAACGTTAGAAAACAGATTAGCAGACATTACGAGACAACTCAATAATGTTTAGGAAAAGGTTAATTTAATACTGTTGACGGTCTATAATATGATTACGTGTGTATATATGTGTGATTATTTAATAAACGATAAAAAGTTTACGTTTCTCTGAAACATAATTTTTTTATAAAGAGTGGTTAATAATATTAAATTTTGTACATACAGTACATACGTAAAGTATCATAATTTGTTTTGGGGATAGTTTTTATAATTTTATAAACGTCTATTTTACTGTTTACTTATGGAATTTAATTTAGCTGTATTACATTCTATATCTATATTTAGTACATAAGATTAAAAACTTAATATTATTTTTGTTTTGGACTCCTCGATTACATAGACTTGTCGCGTTTAACATCTAACACTTCAAAATTCATAGTGTAACACTCCTTAATTGATTTCATTACGAAATTCAGGAGTTTTGCCCAAACTCTATCATTATTGTAGTACTGAGATCAATGCAGAAATACACAAAGCGTTTACGTAGTAACATTGGCGTTATCTTTGTTTTATTTCCTTTTTTGTGTTTGGTTATGGAATTATTACAGATTCCATATAAATCAAATAATTATTGATTTTATTCACCAAATCAATAAATAATATAATGTCAAATTCGCTATATAGTCAATGAATTATGGCATTATATTATTCTATCATATCGAATACGTAAAATTATAAAGATCTTTTTGCCGTAAAACTTAAATGCTGTAATGTTATAATGAAATAACTCGTAATTTACCAGTTACTTAGTATTCCGTACGAATCGAATCGGACGGGTATTTTTAAAGATCCGGATTTGATCCGAAAAGTCAGTTCTGGTCTAAGTATGGATCCGAAACCGTAAAGATTCGTGAAAATCTGATGGGTTCGTATATTCATATTTTAATAAGAATACACAGTTCGGATTCTCAACATTGATTCGAAAATCGCAGCTCTTATAAATCATGAATCTGGATTCAAGCCATTGTCGGATTCAAATCGGATCTGGAATTAATAATTTTGCCTAAAATCGCTCAAATTTTTTACTAATTAATGTTATCAGCTGGGTCCAGCCTAAAGATGTACCTTGCGCAAGATAACAAAATTCTAACATATATTCACAACTTCACGCAAAGTTACATTGCGCGATTTTATGTGAGTTATTTAATATCATTTATCAATTAAGAAAATTATTAAATTAATAGCTCATTGATTATTAATTAAAATTATCTTATTCGAATAATTTTACTTCACACAAGGTTGACATCATTCTGCGCAAGGTGGATGAAAGTTGCGGGTGTTAGAATTTTGTTATCTTGCGCGACTATTTCCAACACATGAACACATGATTAAATAGTGTCACGGGGTAAAAGTGACATTTCCGAAACCGCAGTGTAAATCATCTAAAATTCTAAACCGGGATGATGATCGTGATTTACAAGAAGAAGATTACGCGTACGATCTGCGAGGCTTAGGTATTACTGCTAGAAGGTTCTAACAATAATGATATAAATGTAAGATAGAGAAGGTTCGGGAAGGAATAAGGAAACCTGAATGCTTAACGGAGGGAATGTAAGGATTAGTGAGGTCAACGAAGTAGTTTTAAAATTTAGAAAGAATAGTAATTGCGCAATCCTCAAAGCCTCTTATGTCGTTCAAAGTTTTAAACATTATAAAAGAGCTGTAGTTTCGTCTTGGTAAAAAAGATAAGTTCCTTGGGAACAATAATAAACTAATAAAATAATAATTACTTAATCCCTACCCTGCATAACGATTCAATTTAACTTTGTATAAAACCCTTAAACATAATTATTTATATTTGCTAAATCACCATCGTCACTAGAGATGTCACCCAAACCCGATGGTTTCGGCACGTGGCCAAACCCAAATAGCCGAAACTAGTTTGAGACTTGGCCGAAATAAAATCCCAAACTATAATAATACATTACAGTGATAGGAGTTTAATTAATGTTAATTTTCATAACGAATAACTATTAAAATTAACAAGCGTTAATTTCTTCATTAAAAAGCATCTATTTTTTATATTTATTATTTGCAGCATTCATTTACATGTTTTTATTTTTTTTTTTATTATTTGCAGCATTACATGTTTTTTTATTCTTCGTTAATTATGTTATTTCTCTTAT